AATGGTTGCAAGTCACACAGCATACAGGGTGGCTCAAAAAATATCAAAATTCTACTAATATTAACCTAAATAAAATAAAACTTTTACACTTTAAGGAGAGTTTTTTTAATATGGCTATTATCATTAGTAATGTTTTAACTTGTTAAAAAAAAAAAAAAATCCGACATTTTAAAGTTGTGTTGAATATCATTGCAACAAACATGAATTTTGTGATTCCTTAAAAAATTAAAAATCTGAGTTAATTTCACAAATATGCTTGAATGTGAACAAAGTTATGTAAAATTGATTTGATTTTAATTAATTTTTGAAAGTATTAAGGGCGGAAATAAAAAATAAAAAAAATATAGAAATTATAGATTTTTTTCGAAAGAAAATAAAAAAAATCTTAGGAGGCTATGTTTTGGTATTTAGGCATAACTTTTAATTCCAAACAACTTTTCTCTATAACATTTTGCTGAATTTTCTAAAATAAGGGTACTTTGCAGTACAGCTGTGATATTGCTTGAGCTACCCTGTATGCTGTTTGACTTGCAATCATTCTAAGTGCACCTAATATGATTATCAGACATGCACCAACTTTTGGCCTTGTTTGTATTTGGGTTGCGCTATTACTAAAAAAAATTCCCATATGTTGCACACTTAAAAAATCACACTGTATCATGAACATGCTTGCATGAAACCTAAATCGATATTCGGGGTCTGCACCTAGACCTTCGTCTTTTTCCTTCAGGTTCAAAAAAAACTTTATTACCAAATTTATGGTCAAACAAAATCTTTCAAATTTGAGAATATTATTTATACAGGGTGACCCAGAAGCAGTCCACAGCTCCCAACTTGAAATTTCTAAATGGGACACCCTGTATTTTCTTGTTTGCATTGACGGAAATCAAGGAATAACCCCAGTAGCACACAATGTTGGTCCCATGTTGCGGATACATTGGACCAATATTGTATGTTGGCCCAATATTGGAATTTTTTAGCCAACATTGGACATTTATTGGCAATACATCTTCTTTCATCATTATAATAATATATTTATCCAAGAATGGGCCAATATGCACAAACAATATTTTTATCGGCAGCATATAGCCAAGATTGGTTACATATTGGCAACACAAATTTTTCTTACATAACAGTGATATATTTATCCATCATTGAACCTATAAGAACAAAAAAAGTGTTTTTCTTTGCATTATTGAGCCAATATTGGCAATACAACTTTTTCTAATTTTACCATAGTATTATATCCATTAATGGACCAATATGCACAGATAATGTTTTTATTTGCATTATTAAGCCAATATTGGATATAATATAGCAAAACAATTTTTTCTAATATAACAGTGATATATTTATCCATATTGACCAAATATTGATTCTATATTGGTGAAATATTGTATATGGGTCAAATATTGGCAATTTGTAGCCAATATTGGTAATATATTGGGGTTGGGGTATATTTTTCCTACATTATTAATATATAATATGTGAATGTAAGATTTATCCAATATTGGTTCCAATCAATGTTTGGCAATATCTTTTATTCATTTTTATATTTAATATTTATCCAATATTGGTGATATATAGGAGATGTACTTTTTCCATATCAATCAAGACTACCGAGAGAGGGCATCATGCGCTACTGATGGCCTTGCTCTTTCCTAATGTTTGAGTTTCCTTCAAACCTGTTTCTTTAAGTTGGTGTGCTTCGCTCACAAGTTCGAAGCCGGAAACCGGTCTAGTCTGCAGGTGTTGGAACTTTGGTTAAATACATGTGTTTTTCCAAAAAAAATATTGTAAATATTTCTAGAAGGAATATTTCTTATTTATTAATTGGTAATATTGGAAAAATATTTATATTCAATATCGGATTCATATAAAAAGTATACATTGTGCCAATCTGAAAAACAAATATTGGGTATATTTCTAAAAGCAATATTACATGTTTATTAATTAGCAATATTGGGACAATATTTTTCTTCAATATCGGATTCATATTTACAATATATATTGGACAAAAAAAAAACTGTCGTTTCCATTATTGGGCCAATATGTAAATATAATATTTTACCAATATTGTTGTGCTACTGGGGAACTCTTTTCATATTTCGCGACTATTTTGAAACAAACTATGGATACAGGGTGTCAATTTGAAAACTTTCAATGCTGCGAATATCTCTGAAAGTAAAAAAGTTAGAAAAACGTAATTTGGTTTGGTACAAATGTTATACAGGTAGGGGGAACTAGAACCACCATATTTTGGTTACGAGGTGAGTGACCCCTTGGGCCCCATGCACCCCAACCTCGAAACTTTGAATGGCATCACCCCTTTAGTGACACCTAAAATTGAATATTTTTGGGTATTGTATTCACCTGCACAAGATTTTTTTCAAAAAATATTAAATATCAAGTATCACAAAAGGAAAGGCGCCATTTGAAATATTGGGATTGAGGTGCATGGGTGAACAGGTCATTATAACCAAAATATGGTGGTTCTAGTTCCCCCTACCTGTATAACATTTGTACCAAATTACGTTTTGCTAACTTTTTCACTTTCAGAGATATTCGCATTGAAAGTTTACAAATTGACACCTTGTATATGAAATTTGGGTGAATCCGCACAGTTTATGAACTGATTTGAACAGTGTACTGTCCAGATTGCATAAAGTCTGGACTAGTATTCAGAAATAAGTTCCATTAAAAATAACCCAAACAGCTATTTTCTATGCATGTGCTTATATATTGGTTATTCCTAAAGTTTCTTGAGGTTTCTCACGGTGCTCACTTAGAAAACTAGTTGGATATGAAACTAGTTTCATATAAAGACATGCAGTCATGCACATCGAAAAAACTTATATCAGGCAGGTATCTAGTTTCATGATGTCGTCTGATCGAGGAGGAAAAAGTCTTGCTTCCTATAATTTTGTTGATTCTTTTGCATTCTTGTTTTGTGGTGGCTACACATTGCAACTTGCCAATCGCCTAATTCCATTCCTGGAATGCAAACTTTAGCCGTTTCTCCTACGACGTCAAATTTCGACAATCGGAAAATTCATTCGACGTATTCGAAAAATAAGGCTCCAGCGAGAAGAAAATGCCTGAGAAGAAAAAACGGAATATCAGCAGACAGCAGATAAATACCCGAATATCCTTTATTCAAGTAGTGAAATAGAATAAATAAATTGAAACCTAATCGCTTTGTCGCAAGTCTCATGATTATTTTAACATTAGATCTCATATTTGAAACAATGTTGTCATGTTAACTTAAAAAAAAATCACATGTGAATTGTCAATGTCAATGTTCGAATATGCCATGCCATACCTAATTGAGTGGTTTTTATTTTTTTGAAAAAATTTGACTGCGTAGTGTTTCCCTTCTATAACAGACTTTGCTATATAACCTGCAAAGAAAATCTATGTATTTGCAAAAAAAAGTAGTTTTATTAAAAGAGGATAATATATTGGTTTAGTTTTTCCCGCCAAAAATTTTAAAAAATCTAGTTCCATTTTGTGGTGATAAGGCAGCAGGGTGATCGGGCAGCAGTGCCATTTTGTGAATCAAATCCGCACCTGTTATAAAAATATTTGAAGATCCTGCATTTGGGCAATGAATATAAAGCCCTTTCCTGACTTCTATTATTCTTTTAACTGATTCAACTGTGCAGCACTGCAATAGAAATCGCTTTTCACAATAAACGTTTTTCAGTAAAATCCACAAATTTCGTTAACTCTGTAACTAATTTTACTATCTATTCACTAACCCACTTTGAAATGGTAAAGAGATTTTTTTCTATCGTGGTTTTATTATTGAAATTTGAGTCATTGATAATTTAAAATTACATATAATTTTTTGAATACCTTCCCCAATATTCTCCTAATTGAAAACAATAACAAAAATCGGGAATCAAGGCGAAGCACATTTATATTTCCGAAAATTGGATCAATAGAAATCCAAAACAACAACATAAATTTCAGGGAAAATTCAGGAAGAAGTTGCAGAAATACTAGGAGTAGGTAATGTAAAGGACTATAAATAATGGATTGTAAAAAAAAGTGACACCGAGGAAAATCGAAAAGGGGTAAATAACGAAAGACGTCAATGATGACGTTGTTAGGATGGAGGTGCAGAATGCAGAATGTAATTTTCGATCTTTATCGAATAATAGTTATCTATGTCATTAGGTCAAGAAATGCGTAACAAAGCCTACTTGAGCGTAGCAGCTTCGGGGAAGAATGACATTTTTACAACATTTCATCTTCAAGGGCTGGCAATATTTCCTTTCACAACCTAATCACTTTTTGTTATCCATTTTCGGAAAAATAAAAGGCTGCCGCATAATTTACGACGTATGTCAGATTTGTTTACATGTCAAATCGATATTAGGTTACTCGGAACACATTTTACTGCTCGGAACATAAACCCTCGTGTGATCGAGCAGACACAGCAACCTGAATATCTATATTTTTTCATGCTCGTACTTTATTTATGCAATAGTTCAATTCATCATATTGAACAAAAAATGTGAAACGAGGAAATTAGTCACTTCTGTGCCAAGCGTGACGACAATAAAGTTCAAATTTCAGACCGCATCATAACAGAAGTTATTTATGCGAAAATCCGTATTGATTTATTAAAAAATACGTAGAAAATTTGGACTCAAAATTAAAGCATGCTTTTGTGACTCAACCAGCCGCTAGTTCAACATTCAACCTAACTCAATGTGGACTCATTTCTCTAAGTTGTTCCAATGTATACGTAAATTTACCACAATCGTCAGGTGTTTTTGAAGCTCAAATCGTGCGTCAATTCATGCGTATTTCCGGACATTTCGATTTCTTTCATGCACGGATATTTCATTCGATGTGCAAACTAGGGGTTTTACTAAATTCTGGTCCATGTAACATAAAACAAGAAAGAGGCAGATATTTCGAAGGATTGATGAAAATAAAAAAATTTGAATACGAAAAAACTCTTGAATAATACTTTTTTTCCATTACAGATCAAGTGCGATGTTTCTGTAACCTCCCATCCTGTGTAGCCACAGGTTACATGTGCAAATCCAGCAGTGGGGATTGTTTCTCTGATTTATTGGATTCGTCCAGAGGCTCAGCCTATAGAGGACGACATGGATGTATAGAATATCTTTCAGAGTAAGTAACATCGTAACATAATTTGTCAGTTGTTTTTCTTAGGGACCACAATTCAATGTTTTGTCGATATTGCACTTTTTTTAAAATGTAGTCAACTGAAAATATTGTATTGGTAAGATTCTTCGGCTGAAAAACGGCGGTCATTTTCTGGTCTGACAGACCAGTAATGTGTAGATAAGTAGGCCCTGCTGCTTAAGTTTACGATTCTTGAGGCTCGTATTTTCTTATTTTCATAAGCTAGAAGCTTTCAAGAAAATAATATGCAAAATCAGAAATGATACGTGCCCAAACAACTGTAACTTTCCAATTCGGTTTGTCGCCAAATTTAGATTTGATAGACATCTACAAAAATTTACGACTACAATATATTGATATAAAAGTTAAAATCAAATTTATCCTCATTTGATTCTTGGGTAAGACAACTAAACGAAAAATAGAACCGGTTGTTGTCCAACTTAATTTAAACTGAAATACTACAAGTTAATAATTCTGTACTGGATTTCGTATTTATAAGCTTCGTGCATCCATTGGTTACGTGTAGACCGACACGGCTGGGACAACAGGTTGAGCATTATAATAAGGAAAAGTTGCAGCTTAAATAACAATTGACAGGTGAATGTGGCTTCGACAAAAAAAAAATCGTGCGTACGTACATGCGATCGATGTGGCAATGATTTGGCAACGAACTTATTTGGAATAACAATCGACTTATTATGAAAAACAATAATTTTGTATTGTCCTCTCTGGATGTCATTTTATAAACCCAATATGAATATATTGTCGTTAAAGATTAGTTTCATTAAAAACGAGAGTATTAAAACTATCATATCCCTGATTATGAAATCTGTTGCACAACCTAACTAAATTTTTCTGGTTCCAAAAATAGGACTAGCGTTTTAGAGGGCTCAGGCTTTTATGGTTGTCTAGTTTCATTGAAAATATCTAGATCATTTTTAAGTAATTTTTATCAAAGTCTGTTTAATTCCCCCCAAGAGATTAATTCATTTCTAAACAAATACACTTTTTTGTAAAAAAAAAATTCTGGACAAAGCAGAGTACTAGTATAAGTAGTAGAAAAAAAAGGTGAATCATTATCTAAATAGGTGATAAAGAGTTACATAAACACACAAAAAAAATAACCTAATGTAGTTATCATGGTGCTATATTTAAATTTCGCCCCATACTTTGATAATCAGCGCCACTCTTGTGGATTGAGAGTGGCAACAGGGCAGAGAAGGGGAAAGAGTTAGTGCGTAATTTAGTAGCAGTCCGCATGTTTAATAAAGACAGAATAGGTTTTGTCTTTATTTTTTTTAAATGAATTATGGTCGGTATTCGATCAATTAATAAACTTAGTTTGATACTCTCGAATAATTTCGTGTTCCATTTTCAATCCGAACCGGCCATCGAGACTACCTACCTCCCTGTACAACTTACAATTAAAAAAGAAACATTGAAGCGACTACTATCAAATCACAAAGCCTTTTAAAATGCCACATCACCAAAGGTCTGTTTTCACAGAAATTACAAACCAGTCAGAGCGGATTTCATTGTTGAAAATAGTCAGGAAACTGGTTGTTGGCGATTTGGACCAATCAAAAGCGTTCTGACTTCTGACTGGTTTGTGATTTCTGTGGAAACAGACCTTAAATGGTGTTCAGGTCATCAATCTTGTAATAGGCCTTTGCAATCAGAAACGCATTGAGCATTTTTCTAAAATGCTCCAAGCTCTTCGAACCTCTCTCCGATCACGATGGCAATATGATTCAATATTTTTTCTTCCCTTATAAATAATAGATTTTTGTACCAGTGTGCTAGTGGGAACCGACAAGGGAAGGTCGTGAATTTGACGAGTGATGCGAACACGAACAGGATCTCGGACATTTCTGGGATTCTTGAAAATGAAAGATGCAGTTTCGAGGACGAAGAGACTGGTGAGAGTAAGAATTCTCTGAGAAATAAAATGGGGTCTGAATGAATCTTTGTGACTAGCATTAAAAATAATAACCGTTCTTCATTTTGTGTGTAGACCATTTAATTTCTAATATGGACACGCTGTGCGATAATAACATTTGTACTTTGGAAATGATAGGTACGTCCTCTAGTTCTATGTTCTTCGTCATACTCGTAATGATCCTGATTATTCCAACTATCCACATCTGCTTGTTGGATACTATTGACCTTCTGAATGAGCAATGGTTTCCAGCCAATCTTCTTGTTTCCGTTTCTTTCTTTGCTCGGTGGATTCTTTTTTCCCCATTTTTTTGGCGATGACTTGCCGTTTTCTTTCAGGTTCAAAAATAGTTTCTCAATATCTTCATATTGATGACTTCTGAGATGTTCGGGCTTCCGTTCTGGCTCCGTTTCCGATCAACAGGAACTCTTTCACGCTGGTCAATTCTGAGGCCTGGATAACGAAAGGAGGCTGCGTTGTTATGCAGTTTACCAGAACGATGTTTGATGTTCTTAATTAATATATTGGCGTCATGGTAGTTATAATTAGGTAATGGTAATAGTAAGTATATTATTTCAAATCCAATCTGCCCTGTAGTCATATAACCCAGGATGATTCCTGAGTTTTTATTAAGCGTTTGAAGAACCCTTTAAAAACAATTTTTTTCGCACTTAGTACATTTTGATGGACCACTTTGCTTGATAGAAAATCGAACAGTGAAGGGTTACTTTTCTGGCAATGCTTATATTGTCGTTTAATCAATAATTTCTGTATTCTCCTGCAAAAATGGTAACTTTCTAAACTACATGTATTTTTAAGTTGCATATCCGTTCAACAAGTTTTCAAATTCATCTACTGCTTACGCGCATTTCCCTTATTGATGAGAAGCCTGACCTTGTTTGGCTGCATTTAAATGACAAGGACGGGATTACATTGGTGTAAATGCATATATGCTATTGATGAATTTAAAAGCTTGGCCTATTAAAATGTCCCGCACGTTTCAATTAGCTACAAATATAAAAATAGGAGTAACTTCAGAGTGTTTGAGTTAATTTCGATTTAAAAAAAATACGTTCAAGGATTCCTCTGATTGATGATAAATTACCAGAATCAATTCTAGAGGCAGCCAATAATTTTAAATCACTTCGTGAGAAATCCAAAATCGAAATCCGATGTGAAAAAAGTATCTAGGTATGCAGATGGTGTTTTCAAGTTGGTGTTAGAAGTTTCAAAAAAGAATTGGTGCGGACCAAATAGACTTGACCATATATATTCAAAGGTGGTGATTGAACGTGTAAAAAATCTAGTCATGTTATGTATAGTGAAGTAGGTGAATAATAATTCAGAAAATATGGAAAACGCGAACCTATCACTCCACATAACGTGTGCTTCATCAATCATTGAGAAGGCGTCTGTACTCTTCAACAAGTTGGAGTAAATGCATGGGGAAAAATGGCATCAGAAATAGCCGGATATGTAGGTCTTCGAAGTTCAGAATTATACACCGGTCATGGTCATAGTTTCCGCCGATGCTCAGCAACATGTTGCCAGATTACGTTCAAGGAATAACTAATCAATAGACTGGAAAACTATTTGGGGAACCCACAAGATTAAAACGAAACAAGTCAGAGAAGATAATTTGTCAAAAGTCTTGCTCAAGCCGGGCATCAACATCGGTGGCAAGCATCTTCCCAACGCACTTTTGAAACGTACCTACTTATCAATCATGCCAACAAAATGCCTAATTTATTTATTCTAGTGAAACGGATAAAAACCAGATACTTAGATCTAATAGAAGATGTAATGTCCACCGTTATATTAGCTTTTTATTCCAATATCCTTATGCTCCAAAAAATGTATTGAATTCCCGTTACGCGTCCTATTCTTTTAACGGCAGTGGCCTGAGGAAAAGTAAGATATTTCACATTTCATTGATACCTTGCCTAGGGAGAAAATCCGCAAGTCTTGCAAAGTCAAGTTGCTGAAGCCGAAAAAAATAATCATGAGAATACCTTATCTCGAATCAGCAAAAATACACGAACTTTGTAATTATTGGCTAGACTAGAAAAGACTTGAGAAAGCTTCTTGTGCAGCATTTAAAACAACTTTCCAATAATTCACCCATCATTGCTAGAATATGCACTATTTTCAACTTTTTTATTGGGAAAATCTTTTAATGGACTCAATTCTTTTGGAATTAAAGTGAAAAACTATTCCGTGTTTCTTGAGGTAATTCTCATTTCCGACGCCATTTCATGAAAAATATGCTGTTTTGCCTTCGGTGAAGCGTCTCTGATCAATTTCTTAGCATTTTTAGCTGTTGAAAGACACTTTTTCTCGACCAAAATTTCAACTAAGAGGTTGACATGGTTTTGTTTCGACTTCTTGGCAGGCTTTCTTTGAGATTCGAACAATTTGGAAACTTTTTTGGCCATGGTTGAGGTTGATATTTTCCAACCAATAATCCATAAAATCTTGCCGTCGATGTAGGAAAAGTTAATTTCCTGCTTCTTCTATTTCTCAACAAACAGTATTTTTTTTCCAAAAGGCAAAAATAGTACCTACATAAGGGCAAATTCACATTTCAAGCGGTTTATATTCATACATTCTATGCATTCCATTATTTACCTCAAATTTTCCCCACGTATGACGTGTGTAGAAAGATATTTCTCTGTTTCGAAATTTTCAATTTGGTTAGCTTTTAGCCAACTTCACGTTTTTTTTGTGTCATTTATAAAAATTTAGGAGGGATTTAGGATAGCATCCATTCCTGCAGAATTTTTTCGTTACTAATTTCATAAATCCACTATTCCCCAAATTTCGATAAGCGGTGGATGACGTTGAACGACCTAAAATGTACAACAATCATGGTCAATTGCTCAATCTGATTGATATCCATTGATGTCGTTTGTCAGTCCGGTTTTTACATTCCTGGCCCAGGTTTATTCAGAACAAGTAACCCTCCAGGCATCGTGTAATAAAAGGATTAATAAACTTGAAAATTAATGAACATTTTCTCAAGAAATTCTGTTATTTAACTACACCT